ATTGACATATGTCTATCCACTGCTTACCACCCCCAGTCCAATAGACTATCAAAGAAAAACAACCAATCTTTTGAGCAGTTGTTGCATAGTTACATAGCTGAAAAGATATCTGTTATTGCTGTGATCCAAAAGAAGGTGAAAAACCCAATTTGGAGCATTTTCCAATTTTGCAACAAACTAGGGAAAAATTTATTCTCAACCTCTTTGTCAACAGAATGACAGACAGATCTCTCCTTGGATCAAAAAGCTATTACCCCACATACTAAAAATTGTATTTCTGAATATTGTAATCATCCAGTTGATGTTTAAATATCTATACAGACTAATAAAACCACCTCTCCAGGCGGAAAATTCCACATCCTTATTATTCTTACTGAATAAAAAAAAAAAACCTTTCTATTGCCTTAAACAAAATTTAATTTCTTGCAGTCTAAATTGGTGGCTTCATGTACTATGTATAGTCATGTTTATGAATAGATTTCCAGACAATAGTTTGTATTAGCCACAAATATATTTATTTAATAAACATATTTAATTTTGTTAACCTTTATTCATAACAAATCTTCCATTCTTTTTAATTATTTTGTAGCTCGAACCCGATGTTCACTTCTTTCCACACATAGCTCCTTAAGTACTCATGGGTGAATACCATGTAGTCCTATTGTTTCACCACACACATACAATACAACTGTTATTAACTTCCTACCATGGCTAAATTAATCTATTATATACTTCAATGTGATGCTCTCCAAAGTAGCCCATTCTATTATATTATGGATTTAATCCTTCCATCCTTCCTGACATACCAAACACCAACCCAGTACCTACTGTGATTGAACATATCACCTTATTACAAAATCGTTTCCAACACGTAGAGTGGACACTCACTGACGTTGCTTAGCATGTATTCAATGCATTACAGTTAATTTTATGTTATGACCCTTGGCCTTGTCTTCTGATTGTGTTTTTGGAATTTCTCCTCTGTTATACACTTTGGACCTTGGCCCTTTGCTTGACTTATCCAACATTGGAACAAACTTTGACATTGTCCTCAAATTTTACCCTTATTGCGATGCTCCTTCCTTCCTAGTATCCTGCATTCTGAGCTCCTATTTTAACCCACATGGCACTCACAATATTAAGAGTCAATTGAATCTGGCAAATGCTGTATGCATACATCTTTACCTGTCAATTGATACAACAAAATAAATGTCATAGTGCACCAAAGCTACTATTCATATTTTGTGATTTATGCAATAAAAAATATTTTGCCCGGAGTTACAGTTATAACGTGAGGTGAGTGGTATTACCCTTAAATAACACAGCACTAAAGGCTCATTTCCCCATAAATGTATACTTTACCGTCTGTTAGATACATATAAAATATTTAAATGGTTTACATTATTGGAATCTCTGTGCATTTTATTTGAGGAGTATTTTCACAGGAGTATATTCCTGAAGGTCAAAAGTTGTGGTGGACTTCAATTAAAACGCCAGGCACCCTAATTTCATAGCCAGATTAGATTGGCTGTTAATATTGTGAGTGTTTAACATAAAGTATTTCTATCAAAGCATAACCTACAATATTATACTATATATTAATATGTTTTGTCATTTTTGGTTATTATGAACATTTATTTGTATTTTTTTCTAATCTTATTTAATTCAGTTACATAACTTTTTGTTTTATTTCGATATATACACACATTTGCTGTGTTATAATATGCTTATATGTTGGCTATGCATACCTTGTTTCAAAAACCTATAATGCTAATATTTTTTTCAACCAAAAAGTACTCAGTAGCGAAGTTGTTAAATGTAACTTTTTTTTTTTGCTTGCATTTTCGGTCTACATAATTGGAATTAAATGAATTTCAATTTCCAGACCTTTAGATTTACAATTTATTCAGGAAAAAAATGACTTTTTATGCACTTTGTTTTATTGATTAATTTTCACTTCCACACATATTAGCAAAATAATACATACCATATAATCACACTATACTCACAATATAGCTACTTTATAAAAAAAAATTTTAAAAAATTATGTACTATGTATTGTATTATTGTGTGTTATATTC